CTGCACACACCAGGGGCACCGGGATCTGAACACATTTCAGTTCAGGTAGCATCAGCAACAAATTGCAGCTAATGAGACGCACACTTGGCCAGGGACAAGCCAAGCCCCCAGACTCCCCGAGTCCTTGCGGTTCCCACTGCAGCATCCCGTTTTCCCACGTGCAGCCCAGCGACAGCCCAGGGACCGATCTACCCCCGTCAGGAGCACTGCGAAGGGCAGGTTTTGTCCTTAACCCCGGCACAAACACAAGGCGAAGCAGGGAAAGCAGACTTTGCAGCGGGCAAGCCCCGTCTTGCTCCTCGCACCGGGGCTGCCATGCTGTTTGCCGTTGTTTTCAGGAAACGGCACTTCCCCAGCCAGCAGCGCTGGGCGCCCGCTTCCCCCGGAGGGAAGGCCCGGCCCAGCCGAGAGCTGTGGGTTGGGGCAGCGAGGACCCCCCTGTCCCACAACTCCCCCCACCCTGGCAGGTTTGACTTCACGGCATCAGCACCATCGCCAAAACCTCGGGGTTGCCAGACCCTGCTGCTGGCGTTTGGGTGAAACCTCCGTGGGGCTGGGCAAGGAGAGGGGGCAGGCAGGAGTGGGTCTGCCACGGAGCCAGGTCTTGGCCCTCAGTGGGGAGGGAGAGAGAAATTTCCCACTGCTGCTGCCTGCAAAACGGAGCTGCCCAGGAGCGCACTGAAGCCATTCGTTGCACGCCAGACCCCAGCGAAGAGCTTTCCCCCAGCGCTTCCAGCCCAGGTTGCAGCATCGGATACGTGCTTTCCGTGCACAGCCAGCTTCCCCGGGACAAAGCCATTCTCCTCTGGCAGATCAAATGAGCGATCCCTCAGTGACACCGGTATTGTCACGGTGCCCGGGCCCGCAGGAAGACTCCGTTTCAATAGGAAGCTCCCCACCGGCGTTGCACATGGTCAGCGGGCCGGGCAGCCGGCGGCAGCGGAGGCTTTCAAGTAGGTGAGGGGCCACAGGTAGAATCTGCTCATGCAGCAGAGAGAGGCAGAGGGAAGATTGATTTTCATTAGCTAGGCTGACCTTGAAGAGCAGGGAAAAGCAAAGGCAACTTACTTTGACTGTTCAAGCAAGATCTGGTCTCTCCCATCCCCCTCCCCGGAAAGAAAAGGCAACCGATCTGCTTGGATTTGGGTTTTTCCTGCGCTCGGAGCCCACCTGCCTTCCCCTCCCTGTGATCTCAAGCGAGATGCTCACCCCGTCCGGGGAGACGCAGGCAGTGAATGAGTCGCTCTCCCAGGACACCCACAATTGATTTGGACACCGATTTGGTTAACAGAAATATCAAGGTGATTTAGGAGGGTAGGGCTGACCCAGGGAAGGTTTTGTGATCACGCTGCCAGGATGAGAACGGGTCACAGAGGCAAAACACCTTCTTGTGAGACGTTACCCACTGCCACTGAGCTCCTCACCTGGGAAGGTCTTACTAAAGCCCAGGCTGGTGACCTGGAGCCCCCTGGATCCCTGAAGAGATGTGACACATCTCAGTCTGCAGCCAAGACCATGAGAGCAGCCTCAGTGGGCTCCCACGTCCCTCAGGACCCAGATCCCACCTAGGGCTGGGATCGTTCAGGGGTCGATGCCGATTTACACCCGGGCAGGAGCTGCCTACATCGGGGTGCCCATCCCCTCTAACCTGGGCACTGGGGTTTGGCAGTGCCGGGGCGCTGGGACTCGGTCAGCGTGAGGCTCCCGTGTGGGGTCTGAACCCAAGGGAGAGACCGAGGTAGCGGAGGGTCCCCCTGCGACGGAGGCGGTGGAACTGGGAGGTAAAGAGCAGCCAGAGCCAGCACAGCTACACCCAGTCCTCTGTGCAAGCCCGGCAGCTCAGGGGACACGAGGGGATCCGTGAGCCTGGCTTAGGCAGGAGGAGATGCACAGGGGACACCGCAAGGAGGACCAGAGCCCCGGGGACAGCAGGCAGAGAGAGGAGCTGGTAATCAGGCCGTGCAGTGCATGGCAACCCGGACGTTCCTAGGATGTGGGTCCAGGGCTTGGACACAGCATCCCGGGCAAGACAGGTCCTGGGAGGGACACCCAGCACGGAACCGGGGCCCAACCGCTCCT